CTTCTTCATCAGTAAAAATGGAACACTTACCATGTGCCTCACAGAATTGTAGATAATGTACAAGGAAGGCCTTGTAAACAGTTATTGGGCAACATGTTTACACTGACATTTTAAACACAAAAGATAAAGTTTCTATTCCACTACAACATAAGGCCCCAAACAGAGAACAGGGATTTTCTAGAAGAGTTGCATAGGTATATAGAGAGAATTCTCAGGGCCAGGGATGTAGCTCAGCAGCATAAGCACCTGCCTGGAAAGTACAAGGTCCTGAGTTTGATACCCAGTAATAAAAAAAAAAAAATGTTTTTTAAATCCCATATGCCCTTTACCCAACTCCCCCTAATGCTAACCTTTTAACCTTGGTACATTTATCAAAACTAAAAACATTGATATTGGTATAAGACAGGGGCTAAACTACAGAATATATTCCCATTTATATCTGTGTTTCAAGTGTCCCTTTTCTGCTCTAGGATCTAATCCAGAATCCACACTACATCTAGTTGTTAATGTTTTTCAGCATTCTCCAATCCATGCCATTCCTCAGTTGTTCCTTGTCTTTCATGACCTTGACTTTTTTTTTTTTTTTTTTTTTGTGGAACCGGGGATTGAACTCAGGCCCTTGCGCTTGCCAGGGAAGCACTTATTCCACTGAGCACTGAGCCATCTCCCCGGACCCAAATGAATGGTTTTCGTTTGTTTGTTTGTTTGTTTTTGTTGTTGTTGTTGTTTTGGCAGAACCGGGGATTGAACTCAGGCCCTTGTGCTTGCCAGGAAAGCACTTATTCCACTGAGCCATCTCCCCGGCTGACCTTGACATTTTTGAAGAGTATAGTTCAGGTGTTTAGAAGTAGAAAACCCTTCAAGGTGGAATTTTCTTATGTTTTCCTATGTTTATACTGAGGTTATAGATTTGGGGGAAGATTACTACAGAGGTGATGTGCCCCTTTCATTGCCCACAAGAGGTATATCATTATGACTTATTACTGATAAGGGATTTTTGACTGATTCATATCCAGTGTCTGAAATAGATGGCTTATGATGGTAACTAATAAATCCCAATTAATTATTTTATCTATCCTGTCTCTTCCACTAAATCTTAAACTCCTATACTTCAAGAAGCATACTGTATACATCTTCATAGTTTCCAGATCCCTAGTTTTCCTGATGCTGATCTCTTGTATTTAGTTTCAGTAAATATTTAAGGATTGAGGTACTGGGAGTGTGCTTAGTGGTAAAACCCATACTTAGCATGCAAGAGGCCTTTGGTATCATGCCCACAGCCAAAAAGAAAAAGGTTAGGAATAGAAAATTGGAGTCAGAATATATTTTTTGGCAAAATTATGTTTATTAGATAATCATTTGGAATCAAGTAACTGGTTTTAAGCAGCTCATATAAGTAGGTTAAGATTTAGGAAGAGGGGATTTGACTGACCTTGTCAGATACATAAGTGACATTTCTTGTTACATAGGTCTGGCTTTATCTTGGTCTTAAGCATCCAGAAGAAAAGTATAAAAACAATGTATAAAAAGTATAGCCACATTAATATGCTGAGCTGTAAGAGGCTCAAATCAACAACTTCTGACATTGCCAGTCATGTGGATAACCCACTACTATTATAGACTACTGGACTATATTGGATTATTTTGCTGAATTCATGCACCTACAATATTTAAATGGTAAGGGAATACCCATCTCTGACCAAACTAAACAAAAAAGGGATACAAATGAAGGACCATTTTGTATCTGTATATACAAAATAGTTAGGATAGATACACAGCTACTTTCTCTTAAGTCAATGAGAAGATTTGTACTAATAGTGTTTGGACAGGATATCATGTCTGCATCTTGTACTGTGAATAACTATTACAAAGACAACAATGTGCAATGCATTAATTATTGAAACTGTCCCACTAATTGGTTTTGAAACTGTCTCATTGCTATTTGTTTCTCAATAAAATTACAAATAAAAAAACAAAAAGAATAATGATCCTATGAAAACTGGTATTGTTAAGGAAAGCATTATTGCAAGTTGATCAATAAAATTTTTGTGACTTCTAGAGCTAAATAAAAAAATTTTCAAGCAATGTTAAAAAATAAAAAATAAAAGCTACAAAACTAAAAAAAAAGACTTAGGAATCCTCTGAAATGAATGCACACTTCTCAGATGAAATAAAAACAGTGAATAAGTACAAGAAAAAATGTTCAACATCACTGGCTATTTGAGAAATACAAATTCAAGCAACAATCAGATTCCTTCTCATTCCAGAAAGATTGGCTGTCATCAAGAAATCAACCAATAACAAACACTGGAGAGGCTGTAGGGGAAAAGGAATCTTTTTTCATTGTTGGAGGGACTGACAACTGATCCAATCACTATGGAATTTGCATGGGGAATCCTTAAAAAAAACCTGAAAGAATAAATTTCATTTGACCAACCTAGTTCCCTTTGTTATGGTTTGTGTCTAGTTGTACCCTCCAAAGCCTCATGTAGTCATGGGGTGGCTTCTAGAAGTTGTGATTAATTCCTGGTCCAATGTTGGGATTATGGGTGTGAATGCTGTACCCGTCCTTGGGCAGATAGCCTAGATGCAGCATAAGGAAGGAAGAGAAGCTGCCTCTCTGCTGCGGCTGCTCCTGCTGCTGCTCCTCCCTTTTTCGTCTGGCTGTCTTGCTGTTTTCTATCACCATGAACTGCTGTCCTGTGCCATATGCCACTCTGCCCTGGAGCCAGCCAAGTATGGACTGAAACCTCCACAAACTGTGAGCTAAATAAACTTTTCCTTCCTTAATTTTGGAAGTCAGTTATTTTGTCTCAGCAATGAGTGAAAAGTAAGACACCCTTCTCTAGATATATTCCCAAGAGCTAAAGATATCATACCACAGTGATGCATGTATATCCATATTAATACCAGTGCAATTCATAATAGCTACATTTTGGAAACAATATCAATAGATGAAAGGATCAAAAAATGTGGTTATTTACATACAATGAAGCACTATTCTGCCCACAAAGCAGGATAAACTTGAGACATTTACAAGAAAATGAGTGTAACTCAGACATGAGTTTAAATAACACATGGGGGGGCAGGGAGATGGCTCAGTAGAATAAGTGTTTGCCTGGCAAGCACACGGGCCTGAGTTCAATCCCTGGTTCTGCAAAAAAATATAAATAAATAAATAACACATGGCTTTGTTTATATGGAAAATTCAATGCACATAAAATATAAAAGACTGATAAGAAAAAAGTATTGTAATTCAATCCAATGTATCAAAAAGTGTACCTTGACTTAGTAAGTTGTCTTACACGTCCTATACATTCTTTGACCTATTACTCTGGTTTTCAATCTGTGTACATGATAACGAACTTTATAAGGTCTTATAAGGTAACTAAATGAACTTGATGCTGGAAAAAATAAAAGGGGACTGGAGGAACGGAAAAAAGGAAATTGAAATGTGTTATGTACCTGTACCAATCCCTTACAGTGAATGTATAATTACTATGTACAATAAGAAAATACTAATAAGTAAAAAAATAAATCAAGCCTCTAACATCAAAAAGGAGAATTATTAAGTATCCGTGATGTATTGGATATTCAAGGACCAAACATCAGCATTTTATAGAAGAGGTGTGAAGAACTAAGCTGCAAAGCAGCAGGATTTTAGTCTGAACCTGGATGGTGCTGATTTATCAATACCATTCTAAGGGAAATAAGAAAAGGAAGTTTACAATAGAAAATAATTAGACTTTTCTATGTATTTAGTACAGTGTATATCGGGTCTCACTACACAGATCCTTCTCCTAGTGATCCTCCCGTTTCCAGCCTCCCAAGCACTGGGATTACAGGTGCGTGCCATCACACCCAGTCTCAATCGCTCTCTCAGCTGGGGGTGGGGTAGGGTAGGGGAAGGCAAGCCAGGATTGAATCCAGTCCCTGCACTCTGCCTAAACAGGTGCTATAATCCACTAAACTATCTGGTAGGCCCGAAGATAATTATACTTTGGACGTACTTAATTTGTCACACATACAAAAAAAAAAAAAAAAGAAGAAGCCCTGTGATTTCTGAGAGTCACTAGTAAATGGTGGGCACAGGATGGTGTTAACTCTAGACCTAGATTTGAAGCCATTTCAAGGGTTTTGAAACTGAAGCACAGGAAGGAGGTAAGACAAATGAAATGTAACGAAAAGTGCATACAAGAAACTTTTCAAAGAAACTGCAGAACTGGAGAATGAGTGGGAAATGAAATGATTAAATATTTTGCTTTCCTTTCAGAAGGTTAACCGTGAGCAGAAGAAAACGGGGACTGCGTGATAGGATGGCTAAAAATGGTCTAATATCAGTTCATTTTTTTGTTTGGGGAGGGGCAGGACCTTACTCTGTTCAGGCTGGTCTTAATATTCTAATAGGCAATCTCACCCGGTGCATCACTTGGCCTCTCAAGCCATTCATTAAGTCTCCTTGTAAATATAACTGACATACTGGGCACCTCACCACGCTTCACCACCCTGGGAAGGGACCGTGATTGCCATTTCAGAAAGAGAGAATGGGGGCCGGGGAGATGGCTCAGTGGAATAAGCGCTTCCCTGGCAAGCGCAAGGTTCTGAGTTCAATCCCCAGTTCCTAAAAAAAAAAAAAAAAAAAAAGATAATAAAGAAAGAGAATGAAGAACAGAAATGAGACCGAAGATCCCAACCGGTGGATCTTAAAAGATTTTTTTTCCTCCATTCAAAAGCCTCGGGCCGACAAAACACGTACACGTGGTACGACAGGAGCAAGAGCCAATAATTCATTGTAAACTGTAAGAAATGGAGAGTGAAAAGAGAATTACGCCGCGCTTGAAGTCCGATTTGAGAACCCCATAACTTTGCCTGTAGTTCCACAACCCTGCCAGCACACCAGTGCGCCTGCGCGAAGTCTGACTTCCGCTTCGCGAGGGCAAGGGCTGGAGCGAGATGCACCCTGGGTGACTGTCGCGCGCGTGCTGATGACGAAGACGGAAGTGCTCTTGCCAGAGGCGGTGCCAGAGCCCAGAGGGGCTCAGAGTTGCGGAAGTTTTATGAGAAGGGTCAAGCGGCCGGTGGAGAGCAGTGTTGTTTCGCGATTTCCGCTACGGAGGTCGTCGTTTGAGGTCTGAAAGACGTCAGTCTTCTTAGGTTTGCGACAGCAACACGGGAGCGATTCGAGGTTGCTGCTGTTGGCGCTCCTCGCCCCTCGTTGGTCCCCAGGGAACCGCCTCGGCTTTCCACGATGGCGTCCACTGGGGGCAACCTCCAGGTATAGCTGCACATCTCGCGCCCCCCTGAAAAGCCCGCGGAGGGGAGACGCGAGGACTGGGGTGGGGGCGGGGAGGAGGAGGAAGCGGCCGCGCCCCTGGCTGGACGGAAGAGGGCGGGGTGGGCGCAGCCGCAGGTGGGAGGGTGGGTGCCTTCGCACCAAGGGTCTGTTGGGCCCAACCACGGGGGTCTCCGAGCCGCTGCCCCGGTGAGACCCTTGATGTGGGTGAGGCTTTGAAAACGAAACGGGACTCGGAGCTGAAGTCAAACGGGTTAGACGCTCCAATCCGTACAAGAAAGAAAGAAAAAACGTCTTTGCATAACTATACAAGGGCAGCTAAAAATAGGGTAGTTGTAGTTTTGTCTTCATTTTTCAACCCTAGATTGCAAAGCATTTTCGAGCTGTCAGGTGAGCAGCAATATGCGCATCCCTGGAATCCTCAGATTGAGTCAGCCTACATACAATCTCCATAAATTCATTGAGCGTATGTGTTATGTGTACTCCCAAGCTGTAAGATCGAGTTGTTTTTTTAAACTCCTTTATAGCTCCTCTTCCCCACCCCTTATCTACAAGAGCACTGTTCTTGTACGTAAAAAGAAAAAAAAATTGAATTGTAGAATTATAAACTTAAACGTTCTTTGTGGAACAGAATTCATTGAGGATGTAAAGTATTGTGTTTAATCTCACGTCCACAATGGATTTCAGCCTCTAGTAGTGGCTTGCCTCCTGAACTGACAACCCAGCAAGTCAGTTTGGGGCAAAAGAACTGTCTGAGATACATACATTGAATTTTTGCTTTGAACTTCCGGCAGTTTGTCAAACAGGTATTTAATGAGTGTCTGGTACAGGTAACCTAGAATAATTAAATCTGAAGAAAACCACTTGTAGTTGAGTCCTTTAAACAGCGGTCAGGCTTTCACAGAAAAGAACGGGAAAAGCAGCTTGTTTGGGGCCTTATCTTGAAAATCGACCTAGAAGATTATGACTGTAAAAGTTTTATTTCTTCCACAAAATATTATGATTGCAACTATGACTCATTTCCTAAAGATGAAGTTTGTTTTAACATGTGGCTTTTCCACAAAGATTGTGTTAATCCAGGACAACATTTTTCAGTTAATCTTTAGACTTTCTGTACCACCATTCTGGAGAGACTTCTTCAATAAATGTATTTGAAAATTTATTTGTCATTTGGTAAAGATAATTGTTTATTGAGTATGAAAGAAGATTTTGGAATATCTTGTCATTTTCATGTTTGGTTTATCAGTTAACTGGTTTTGTTCCTTAACGTTTCTTGTCCTCAAGAGGCTTTGTATGATTTGGGCCCTTCTACAACATAATTTTCATTCCTTTTCTGCTACCTTTCATCTGTAAGGTTAGCAATTTTGTTCTATAACCAAAATACATTGAACTTGAATTGGATTGTTAAGTGATTAGAGATTTATCAGTTGGAGATTGAGCAGTTATTAAAGGCAAAAGCAGGAGAGCTGTTGAGTTATTTTATTAGTGGTCAGTTCATGTTTGCTTTCTCATTTAGCCATTTCAAATTTCTAACTTAGGATATTTGGATGAAGAGTGATCATATAATGGTAACTTTCTCACTGAACAAAGCAGAATTCCCTAGCCAGATGCCTAAAGTCTGGGGCAATAAAGATAAAGTCAGAATTAGAGGGTAATGTGGGTGGGCAGCAAGGAAGGGTGATCTTATTCATAAGAGAACGAATGGGAAATGCTTCATGGAGGATATGTTGTGATTTCAGATTGAACACAAATAATTGTCTGCTCAGTGTTTGATGTGATCTCTTTTAATCCTCAAAACTACAAGGTGAATGTTATTCCGGTTTCACAGTATTAGAAATTTAAGTATATTTAGGTTATGGTGTGACCAAAAATATACAGTTCATTAGTGCTGGTAACTTTGAATCCTATTTTTCTGCTACTGGTCTATGGTTTTTTCATTACAAAATTTTTTCTTAATCAGAAAAGTTGAATGCTTTACAGGCATAAAAGAACAAGTTATGTTTCAGTGCAGAAGCATAATAAACCTTTACAGAGGGTTGAGAGTATTATAGCATGAAGTAGAACTTAAAGTTTACTCAGTCTTAAATATTTATTGTTTTTTATGTCACATATTATGAATCTTGAGAAATGTATCTAATGTGACATCATACGTATGTGATATATATGTGTGTTTGTGTGTGTATCAGTCGTGACCTCAGATGGCCTGTGTTCTGTGTTGAAACAGACACAAAATGACTGATAGAATGCAATGTGATCCTTGGAATTACATACAGGAGAAAGCAGAAATCTGTAAGCCATGTAGGTCAGGGTAACACCCTGGGGTGTTGTGGAGGGCTTTGCAGCAAGAAGACCCAAGAACTCCACTGAGTCCTAGAGAAGCTAGAGTTTTACTGGGAGACAGTGGCATAGGGTCTTCCAGGTGGCAAGTACACTATCCATATACATAGGCATGCCATCAGAGTGAGTGATCTATGTTGTGCCAGTAGCGTGGTTAAGATGGGAACACAGTGTGCAGGTGGGAGAAAAAGCTGAAGAGTTGAAGCCACATGGTGAAGAGCTTCATGCTCCACTCACAAATGATTGGTCGTCATCCTGCTGTAAACAGGGCGTCACAGAAGGGTTCCAAACTGTAGAATGCTCACACTTTTGTTTTAGAATCAAAGAGAACACTAAACTCGTAGCAAATTTGGGTATAGGCAGACTAGTTAGAAGTACTAAGCCCTTATGCTGGGAAATGGTGACTGGCCAAATTAGGATAGGATCTGTTTGAATAAAGACTTGATCAGAGAAAAATTGGAGATCTTTAGGTATTTAACTATAGCCACAATTAAAAAGTGAGGGAGGAGGGGAATCTGAGTTTTCTCCTAGATTTCAGGATTGGATATTTGAGTGGATGGAAATTAGTTCCCAAGATGCAGAAAGGGGGAAATTGTGGAAAGGAGCAAAATAAATTCAATTCTGAACTTGTTTAATTTGAGATGTTTATGAAGAAAAACTAAAATGCCCAGTAAGCATTGGGGTACAGATGAGTGGAACTGAGTGGTGACGTGGAACTGGCATGAGTGGGCTCAGTTGAACATAAAGATTTAGACATTCTTAACATAAAGGTAATAGGAGAGGTTGTGAGCGTAGAAGAGTTTATAGACCCTCGGAGAGTTTATAGAATGAGTAAAAAAAAGGACCAGAATGAAACCCTATGGAATATAGACTACTTTTGAGACACAAAATGAAACCTGAAAAAGAGTCATTAGTCTGGAATAAGAATAGTGAAAAGATGACCAAGGAATGAGAGAATTACCAGGGTATTTTGTTACTAGTGTTAAGTGCTGCAAAGATAAGTATGATGTTTGGCAATTAGTCAAGAAAGAATTGCTGGGAGAGGCATAGTTCAACAAACCAAGGCAGGATAGTGGTACTTCTTGACATTTTGCTGTGGAGGTTTTGAGATGGTACAGTGGTAGTTAGGATTCCAGCGACTGGAGAGAGTTTGTATGCTTTCCTGTGGATTTTGTAGATATGAGCCTAAGATAAGTTTAAGCACATTTTTTCTCCTTAGAAGGACCCAGCTAAAAAGTGAAAGGGAACAAGAGCAGAGTGGCATGTCATTGACAGAGTTCATGTCAGAGAGGAAAGCAGGGGTAGCCTCCAGAGCACATATGAAGAATTATGGGGGGTAGACAAGTCTGGTCTTCTTTTCTTCTGGAATTTACTGTTTCCCATGGTTTTCTGGGGGTAGGTATACTATGGTCTCCTTATTGGAAAAAGATAGACCCAAGTGTTCTTAGCTTTTATGCTTATTATTTTGATACCTGTATTCTGACTGAGCCTAGAGTAATGAAGTTACTTGGTCTTCTCCTAGGCATTATACTGGAATTGTACCCAAGTGTGAAGAAAAGAGATATTAACCCCATATACACATGGAGCTTACATTCTAGAGAGAATGACCCCCCCCAAAAAAAAAAGAAAACCCACAGGCATGCACACACTGATACCACACTGATTTTTAAGTACAAGAGTGATGTGAACAGCTCTGTTTTAAAAATGGAATAAATTTGTGAGTCAGAAACCTTAAACTGTTAAAAAACATCGCATGTAAGGAGGGAGTAAAGCAGGGAAGTAAGCCCCAGCCTGAACCCTAATGAACATACAGAGCATGATTAAAATATGTGGTAAATGTTTAGAAGTGTTTGATTTAGAATAAAAGACATGTTGTGGGTCAGGGCGGTAGCTCCTGAGTTCAATCCCAGTACCACCAAAAAAAAAAAAAAAAAAGATGTTGCCACTAATCCCTATTAGAATACTCTCATTTACTTCAAATACTAATTTCATCATTCTTGATACTTTCTGGTGCTTGCTTCGGCAGCACATACTAAAATTGACTCTTTCTGCAGCAGTTCAGAAACCCTGTGCCTATATGAGGTATGCTAAAAAATGTGAATGTTGCTGCCTAGTGCCATCCAGTGAATACATAGGCAGTGTCTTAAAGACATTTTAGTGTGTGGTTGTCCAGCTTATTCTCTGGGCTTATTATTTTGCAACTTCCAGCCCTTCCTCAAAGTGAAAGTCACCATGAAAATAAACATTTTGCATTAGTTTAGGACATCAAGATAGCCATGAAATCAGAGGTAAAGGCAGTCACAACCGAGGGCTTCCAGAACTGTTGCAGAAAGTGGCAAGAACAAGAAGTACGTTTGAAGAGCAGCATGTTAAGAGAGCTTAATGGCAGTGTATTTTTTACTGTATGCATTTTCAAATTTAAATGCTCAGTATATTTTTCAATCACACCCTGTATTTCAGTATTACATAGAAAAGCAAGAATCATTAAAGGAGAAAAGGACCTTCCAGAAAGGTAGAAAGAAAGTCAGGAGTCAGCAGAAAACAGTGTCAATAAGAAGGAAATGATGGGTTTTGTAGAACATTGTCAAAAAATCAAGCCGAAGGCAGAATTAGTCTTTGGATCTGGCATCATAAAGAGCCTTGAG